TCATCCTCATCCTAATCCCCAAACCCCACTTACCCTAAACCCTAAACCCTAGTCCCTAGATCCTCATCATCATTTAATCCTAATCCCCAAACCCCACTTTCCCTGCCCTGCGCCTTGCAAAGCTCCAGGTCTCCCGCGCAGGCGGCCTGTCACGCGAGCCACGGCAAAACAAAGCGAGGTGTGTTTTATGGGGTTAGAATTTAAGTGTGGTTTAGGGTTTTATGGGGGTTAGAATTAGGGGTTTTGGGGTTTTGGGTTTAGGGTTTTTTCTGGTTTCGGTGTTTAGGGGTCGAGGGTTTAGCGGGGGCTTAAAGGGCTCATAAGGAGGGATAGTATGGGGCTTCAGTGTTGATCTGCCGCCTATGGGGCTTTATAGGGCTTGAAGCATGTAGGGCCATGGTAGGGATTATGAGGGTGACGTTCGGCTCCATTGTTAAGGGTTTTCAAGTACTGTAGTGTTTGTAGGGCTGAAGTTCTGGAAGGTCTTTACGGGTTAGTGAGGCTTTGCTAGCATTTTTAAGGGCAGGGCTGTATATGGGGATGTCCGATAACAGGGGACCCTAATATAGTACCCTGAATAATAGGATCCGTATTATAAGGACCCCAAAATAAGGATATAGAGAACTTGAGCATGATGGCCCACAGTCCATAACCCCCCAACCCGAGCAAATGGCCTGAAAGGGAAAAAGAAAGACTCTACGACAGGAGGCTGCAACATTACAGCCTCAGCTCTGAACCTTTACTCCCATATTTCAACATCCGCAGACCTGAAACGCGGGACCTTTAGAGTCCAACCCTACTTGAATTTCTGTACTCTCAGGTATCGAGTTCTCGCTACATTCCACACCACCGGCCTCCATCAGAGGCGTCTCACCCTGTGAGTCTTGGCAGTTCCTGATCGCTTTCAATATTGCGGTGCTTTTGGGGGTTTCGTGGTGGTCTTGGCGATGTCGAAGGATCTTCCTCAAGTTTACAAGATGAGGCCCTATGGTGCGTCGGTAAGCCGTTGACGAGCTTAAGTTCGCTTCCTTTGGTGTTGGTGGGGGTGGGTTTAGGGTTTCGGGGTGGTAAGTTTCCGGGAGTGGCATGATGCGGAGGAGCCTCGATCGTATAGTCACCCGACACACTACACCTTCAACATCCTTCACCCTAAACCTTAATAAGTCTCTAGAAGCAGAACGCCCCAGGGTACAACCCCCCCAAACCCTAAACCGTAAAGGTAATGTAGGGGCCTGAGTAAAACTACCTATATTAGTTTAGGGGGCTCCTGATGTAATTATAGTATAAGGGGCCCCAAAACCCTATTCTAATTATGAAGGCCCCTATGTTAACCCGAAGTCTAGAACCCGAACTCAGAACGCCCCAGTTTACAACCCCCCAAACCTAAACCGCAAAGAGCTATGGAATTTCATACCCTAAACCCTAAACCCTAAGTTGCAGTGAAGCCGAGGACTTCCATGCCAAGCGTCGGGTTCGCCCGCTCTCGAAGCAAGCAACGGACCTTGGGCTCTTCGGGTTTCCACTTCAGGGCTTTTGGTGCTTCAGGCTTAGGGTTTAGGGTGTAGGGTTCAGGGGTTTTGGGGTTTAGGGTTCAGGGGTTTAGGGTGTAGGGTTTTGGGTTCAGGGGTTTAGGGTTTAGGGGTTTAGGGTTTAGGGCGTGGGGTTTAGGGTTCTTCAAGTTTAGGGTTCAGGTCTTACCTAGGGTTCACGGGCAGTCACCAATACCGCGCCTGAGGTTATCAGAAATGTCCCATAGGTGTCGGTACTTTCGCACCGCACATCTTGCTGAAACAGAGGATGCCTCCAGACGAGTGTTACAGGCCCAAGCAGGGACGGCACAGGAGAAGTAATGTAGGGGCCTTAATAATTAGAATAGGGTGTTGGGGTATATTATACCATAATTACATCATGGAACCACCAAAATAGTATAGGTAATTATTTAAGCTTCTATAGTACAAGAAATGGAATGTCGTCTCTCCTCTCTAAGATGATGAAAGCCCGCAGGCAATGCGTCCCCAAATCCGGTTCTGAGTGCTGCAGAGGCAAAGGTACTTCTAGAATGGCCCAAACATGGGATAAACCCTAAACCCTCAACCCTAGAAGCCCTAAAACCTAAATGCGTAAACCCTAAAGCCTAAACTCTAA